GGTAAAAGTGTAAAGGTATGCGACGACGGTCGCAAGCTGCCTCTCGTGCTGCAGTTGTCCCGATAAAAGACCTGCCCATCTCACTCTTCTTTTCCTCACATAGTTCGGACAGTACAGTAATGTACATATATTTTTGGTTTAATTCATTTTGCTCGACATTTATACGGCGCTGATTTCCAGACATCTGTAGGAATATTTAACGTTCTGTGGTTTATTATGCTCCTGTGATGGTAATATTTAAACTTGAACGCACATTACGTTTTAGGCCTTCATACCAATGTAAAAGCATAATTCATACAAAGAGAAACTATGAGTCGAACCTGCTGTAAAGGGCACCTGTATGAGACAATCCCCTGTACAAAAGCCCGCAAATGATTGAATGAGAATCAAACAACTTAACCTCTAGGCTACGAGAGCCTCCCTTGATTGTCAATGTGCGCACATCTGTATTGTATTCAGCTTTTGCTTAGAATAATATCAAACTTTCCTGAACAAAGTTAGAGAAAATAAAAAGTTCCTTTAGGTAATCAAAGAATCACATCTCCTAGCATTTCAAAAAAACCCATATAGATCTATATTTTTTTAAATTACTCAAAGTAGGTTTTGTCATTAAATTTTTTATATATTTTTTTTGCATTGCATTATAATAACACTTTTTAAGATTATTGTCTCCCTTATTCAAACAATTAATCATAAATGTTCTTTGTTGTTAATGAAACACTTTATGAACCTAAAGAGAACTCCTCTAGACCTATGACCAGTTTTCTTTACCTTTAAAATAATATATGCTAAATTTCAAGAAACGCCCCTTTCAGCCTGTTGCATGATGTCGTTGTTAAAATAAAGCCGTTTCTATATACCCAAATGAATCGAACGTTATTGGCTTGGGCTGAAGATTAAGGGCAATAACCGAGGTAAAGCGTTTTGAGGGGAATGGTTTACTCAGAGTTATAGAACCTAGAACCTTTGAAAAAAGCTTGCCGGGAGTTAAGGCTTATGGAACTTCATAATATTGTTTTGCTTTTATTTATTTAATCTATTTGTATTATTTTGGGGAGGGTTGGGGTATTTTGTTCATTTTTCTTTTTTTGTTCTTGTTTTAGTAAGTGTTTTTGTTTGTTTTAGTAAGGTTTTACGGCGCTCGCAACTGTTTAAGGTCATAAGAGCGCCAAGGGGTGGATGTCAACAGAGAAGTCCAAAACGGGGAATCAGGCTTACTCTGTTCACCTCTCTAGCCTCAACAGTGCAAAGTCTGCTTCGACTATCAAGGCACTCCGGAAGTATCTGTTCACAAGAGAGTGACAAACATACTAAAGAAGTAGGGGGAAATGACGATAGTAAGGATGAGGAAAATAAAAGTAGCAGTTCTACCTATGTTGCTCTGGCACAAAATGAGCATGAAATTGACAAATCAGCCCATTTACAATTCTACTGTGCTTTAGAACATGTTAATATCCCCTCTTTGGGAATGGCCTAAAGACAACTTCAGTCAGTAGCACTGCCCTGGTCTGGAAAGGGGGGGGGGGAGTGCCGAAGATTAAAATTAAAGGTGTTACTTGAGAGCAACAAACACAAAAACGAAGGAGGAGAGATAAAGACAACAACAGTTTGATAGGGTAGAAAGGCGAGTAAACCACACAACGATGGCCCAGGGCAGAGATAAAATATGGAACGAGCTTGTATGTGGCCTATACCCTGCCAGGGGTGAAAGTCACTGATGATGATGTATCCTCATTTGTTGCTTCGCCTGTTGCACAGTTCCATTGTTTTTGTCTAACGTCTCTCTGACCCCTCTGTCCATGTTTGTTTTCCTGGGCCTGCCTCTTCCTCTCTGCCCATCCTGTCCCTGTTCTTCAACACTGAAGTATGTCAAAATACGAGGTTATCGGGAGAAGTAAAGAAAAACAAAACAAAAAAACAACCGTGTTTGTTTTACTCAAGACACTATATCTTTTAACAAAATATACACAAATGTTGAATTCAGTTAAATCCTTTTCAATGTTAAGAAGAAGGATACTTCTTCAAACATAATACTTGATTTTTAGGTTTTTAAAGATTTTGACAAACTACAATTTTGCACGAAGTGGGTAGTTGGCGGGTGCTCTGGGGTGCTTTGCTTTTTCTTTCTGATCAAATATCTATCATCCTTATCTCTCCTCCTTA